AGGATCAAAACAGTCAGGGCAATATTGAGGAAGAGGGTCTGCTGAGGGAAGGAAAGTGATGTGTGAATTATAACTCAACTTCAGCACTATTAAAATAAGTGAGACATGGCCCCCTTCCTCACAGCTCCAGCAATTTCACTAGGGCTTCACCTGAGGCCATCAGATAAAGATCTGTCCTACGGGCCACCAGACCCTGTACCCCAAGGGCTCAGTTCATATTTCCAAGGAAGAAGAAAAATAATTACTTGCCAACCTGGCACACAATTACTAGACTGACCAGAGTGGTGAAGAGACCTTTTTTTGTCTCAGGAAAAGAAAACAAATGCAGGGTATTACCAGCTCGGTCATGCCAGCTGAAGGGAAGCAGCCGACTCCCAGGATTAACACCCTTCCTCTATGGGGAGAGAAGCTGTTATACAAAGAGGAATGAGGCAAATGAAGTTTTCATTGCAAAAGAAGAGTGAGAAACACTGCTGACAGACAGCTCAACAGACTATGAATCAGTAGCCCCAGGGAGACTGTTCAAGGCTCTTTTGGTTATTTAATGAAGTGTAGTTGAGTTTTGACCCCTCAGCTTCAGCACTGGAGGATTTCTGTGAGCGCTTGAGGTCTTGCTCCTATCCCTGAGCTCAGTGACTACTCAGAGAATTCTTTTTAAATCATATTTCCCTAGATTTTTAATGGCTTGTTTTCCTGCTGCATGAAAGGCCACTCAACTGACAAAACAAATTCGTCATGTGGTGACGCTGGGAGAGGGACCAAGCCCAGGAGTTCACTGAAGCTCTGGGAACAGAAGGGCACCTGAGCCAGCTTGGACAAACTATTTTTCCAGGAAGCACCCGGTGAACGAGGTTCCGGCATTTACCAGTTCCCATGGCGCTTTTAGCAACAGCAGGTTAAAGAAATTAGTTTTATTTGACGAGAAAGGGCTTGTCTTAGCACTTTTGACCAAATTCTTTTAAACCACAGTGTACAACTGCACTGGCAGGGGTTCCTGTTACTCTCATAGCAAAGTTTTATTCTTTGCAAAATGCAGGCTCGCTCTCCTCCGAAGGTTACTGGCCAGAAGGATGGCTCCTCCCCGTTCCCTCCCTCCCAGGCTCCAGCTGGGGACCTGCCCTCCCACTCCCGACCCCAGCAGGAGCCGTGCTGCAAACACCATCGCGGCTGCGGAAAAGCAATGCCAGAGAAACACATTTTCAGCTCCACTTTGCAATTTAAATTCAGCAGAAGGACCCGGGCAGGAAGCCCCCAGCAACTGCTCTGTGCATGGCTGCAGGTCCGTGGCTCAGGTCACCAGCAATGATATTGCTGCAGTCCTCCACACTGGCATGGGACTGACGCTGAAAGGCACCACGCCAGCCAGTGATAAGATAAAAATTTCCTGAGGCTGCAGTGAGTTTCTTTTGCTGGCCCAGCACCAGCAGTGCTGTCAGCCTATGGGTCAGAGTACGTAGAAGTCATTGTTGTTTGACAGGTCGCTGTAATGGCAGAGGGCAAGAGCAGGAGCCTGTGCTGGTGGGGGCTCGACTCGACCCCTGCCCTGAAGCCCCTGTGCCGCCGGCCTGCCCAAGCCTGGCTTGCAGAGATGAGTGTCCCACCTGGTCTCAGCCACAGCCTGATGCTTGTGCTTGAGTCTGCTGCTGTCATTGCAGTAGGTCCCACAACACCGGCATGTCAGGAAGCGCTTAGCTCGGTGTTTGGCCTTTGACTCAGGGGTCAGGGCCTTTGCTCCATGAGTGAGAGTCACTGCTGCGGTGCCCCGTGGGTCAGGCTGCCCTTTCAACCGGCTCCTTCTCCGCTGGATGGGATCCAGGCTGATGTCCGACTGGGAGGAACAGCTCTCATTCCAGCCAGCACTGGCGCTCAGGCTGCGCAGGGGCAGGGCGAGCCGCAATGCCTTCCAGAACTGGGAGCTGGAGCGCTTGGACTTCTCCCCCTTCCAGGTGACAAAGGAGACAGACTCCTTCAGCTGGAGGATGCTGGGGTGGGTGCACTGCAGTGGCCTGTACTCCACCACAATAAGTTTGGTTGCTATGGCGTTCTGGCACATGATGCCCAGCTTGAACTCCAGGAGACTGATGCTCTTCTCCGTCAAGTAATCAGGACTCAAGACCACGATCATCCTGCGGCTCCTCTGGATGAAGTCGAACACGGCTTCGGTGGTATCTAAGAGTACAAGGACAGAGGAGTTGGGGTGCACAAGGAGAAGGGAGCAGGAAGATAAAAACTGAAGGAAGCTGTTTGGTGGCATACCTGCACAGATCCCCCTTTCCCACAGAAGGAAACATGGCACAAGCCCTGTGACTTTCGACTTGCCCACACTCCTGCTGGCAGCATTTTTGCTGTGCAGGGTGTTTTTGAGAAGGCTGAAGTGGTAAACAAGAAGCCAGGATATGCCACTGCTGTATTCTGACTTCTGTACAGCATCACTCCTGCCCAGGGAAGTGCAGGCATTTCATAAAGGGCAGGTCTTGTTTGGGAACCACCTGCCCACAGCTTGAGCAGCCCTTTGCGTCAGGGGAACAAAGTGAAGCAATCATGTCACTCTGCCAGAACTCACACTGCCAAGGCCAAGATCCACCTCCTTCCCTGTCATGCTCTCTCACAGAGAAAAGGAAACCTCCAAATTTAGAAAGCAAATATGTCAGCCTTAAACCTCTCTATCAGTTCCCCTAGCCATCATGGGGGGTGGAAATACCATGCTTCAAAACATTTCTTGGGATTCATTGCAAGTTGTAAAGCTCAGCAAAATGCTTAGCTGGAATGGTGCCAGGCAAGGGCAGCATCTCTTTTATTATGAATGCTGAAAAGCAGCAAGCCTGAAGGATGTCCTCAGACTTCTACCTGTGGCTTGGGATGCAGGAAGCATATTGAAGGTGTCACGGCTAATGGGTGAGCAGTGGAAATGATGGGAATTATAGGGATGAGGCACTCTGCAAATTAACCCAAGCTGATTAATAGAACTGTAAAAACTTTAAAAAAAACATATACTGACTGAGTGCTGGTGCCTGAGATGAGGGGGGACCCAAGGACAATTTGGTGTTCAGGCAGGACAGGGATCATTTGAGTACGAGTTCTTGCAGATTCAGAGAGAAAAACCTGCATGTAGGAATGTCTTGCAAAGATCTGTTTTGGGAAGAAGAGCTACTTGCTGCTTCCCTTCCCTTTCACACTGCTGAAATGTTCATTCCTCAGTCTGGAGACTCCCCTCTCCCTGCCAGTGGAACACTGGTCTTTTATATAAATAAAAATACTGTTCCTTCCCTGCAATGGCAATGCCTCTTATTCTTCCAGCACCTGGCTGTCTCTAATCTCACAGTAGAAAGTCCACCACGTTGCCTCTGGTTGAACCTTATTTTAATATTGTAGAGAGAAATACTTTTCAAATATGTATGAGTAGCTGTAAAACTCATTGTCACTAGATTAGTTGGAGACCAAGAACATGGGATAGGAAAAATGATCACATAGTAATATCCTAATGGAGCAAGTAAGGCAATGTTTGGTTTTATAACATAATACTGGAATTAAAATCAACTTTTTTTTTTCTGGTATAGAAGGTTTGGGGGGATTCCCCCCACCCCCAACACACCCAGGAGAACACTGATTCACTGAAACCAAAAGTAGATAATAAAGTCAACTCTGTCAGAATTGTCACTTAACGTTGTGACGTTCTTAACACCCTATTTCAAAGGCACAAAGAATTGGCAGCAACGTCCAATTTATCGAGTCCAGACCTCATTCAAACCTTTCTACAACTGATTGAGACCTATTTTGAAAACAGCCAGGCTTCAAATTTTGTGAAAGAAAAAGATCTTTTGCTGGTTTGAAAGGTCTTTCTTTTTGAAACTGGAATCACAGAACCATGGTGAAATTTAGGCACGAGCAGCCCCTGGGAGGTCCGCTATTCTACCTGCCTGCTCAAAAAGTTCAGGCTCAATTAACATGAATGACTCTGATGATGCTGAATTGAAATGTTTTGACTGAGGTGACAGTGCTGGTTTTCTTTTATCTGTTTTGAATTTGCAACACTTTTTGAGAGTTGACACTTTTTGGCAGGGAAAACACTCAAATTCCCAAAGACAGATTTTATTTCTGAGAATGGGATGCATTTAGACTTGTCTGACCAGGATATTCTGGGATGTTCAGTTTACAATGTTTACCCAGCTCATGAAAAATCCTGAGTGGCCACTTCACAGTGTGCAGGTCCCAGTGACACCACAGCACAGGATAGGACAGGCAGCAATAACACCACAGAGGTTTGGGGATTCAATACACTTGGTTATCTGCTTTACACTAAAAAACTTCCACCTTTACTCAATGGTTACAGAATATTTTGTTTACTTGTGTCTTCCCTAATGCACCCCAGAGATGTAACAGAGGATTATAACTATTATGGCCCTAGATCCCATACCCACAGACCTCAAATCCATAGATTGTCACAAGTATTCCTTTTGCTAGCAGTCTGGAAGTGCTAGGCTCTCTCTCAACTTACCTGCTAACAGGCAAACAAGGGAAATAGACAAAGTGGCTTGGATGAGAAAATATGAAGCTGACTGAAACTTTTCTACCCAGTTGCCTGGAAGGACATGGGCAAAGCAGCCTAACAGTGAGTTTCGTTTCTGTGGTTTGGCCAGACTTCCAAGATTTTCGTTCAACATTCTGACTTGATCTCTAAAGCAAAGAGATTATGTTTCCTTTTCATCTTTCTGTCTTGTGATTGCCAGTCACTCTTCAGATCAGGGATTTTCTGTGTGTTTGTGTCCACTGCTGTGAGACACCTCAATGCTGTGTGTCATTGTGTTTTTGCCTGCATGGCCCTGGTAGCTCAGGTGCCTCTGCAAGCACAACATGAAACAGCTAGGAAAGTGTCCCCCTCCAAGGAGGTGTCTCAAGTGATCTTGATTGTTGGATTACACACAATTATCTTTCTTAAACAGCATTTCGCTGACATAATGGGGAGGAATGGTACTTATGAGTAATGCACGAGGACTGAAATGCAAAAGTGAAAATGTTTTATTGAAAAGCAAAATAAAATAATACTGACACTTCACAGACCAAATCACACAAAGGCAAAAACATGCAGAAAAGAGAAGGGAAAACAACTCTGGAACAGCTGTACAACATCAAACAGCACAGGGAGGGAAGATATTTTTTTCCAATTTGTACCACGCTGTTTCCCCATGAAATAACAATGAGGAACTTTGCATGAGGTGCATATTGCATAAATATTAGGTTAGAGCACAGAAACTCAAATGAATCAACTGATTCAGACACATGCTGTGACAGAATCCCACAATGGAAAACCACAAGGGGCTTAGAATAAAATGGCAGGTGGATCTGAGGTGCTTGCAGATCTGCATTACAGCTAAGACTGGGCTTTAACCCTGGCCTGACAGATCCCAGCAAAGCCAGTGGTAAAGCTCCTGGGGGAGTGGAGCCTGCTCCAGCGCTATTCCTTCCACCCTGTTCCCTCTAGACCTCTCAGAACCCTTCCAGACCATCACATCTTTCACCTTGTGGGTGCTCCGCTGATGTCTCTCAGTAATCCTGTTCTCAGGTTGCAATGGCACCAAAGGCCACTGGTTCCAGAGATGTATCCAAAGGCCAGTGCAATGGTGCCAGAGAAAGTTCAGGTTTGTTAATTATTTGGAAAATGCTTTGAATAAAATCAGCAAAATATATGAGGTGAATTTAACTTTCTAAAATAATCAGACTTACTGAAACATCAGCAGAAGTTCTCTTGGTAACTCAGCTAAAGTGAGATGTGATGTTGTGAGGTCGGGTATGTCAATTTAATTTATGCATATTTTGGAATCAATTTTTTAAAAATCATCTACGAATCTAACACAGTTCTGCTTTGGCCTCAGGGCCTTCCCTCTGCCTGCAGATCTGGCAGCTGGTTACAGAGATGCTTAAAACACAAACAAAAAGGTGAAGCTAGACAAAATGACAGGGTTGCAATGGGTTCACAAAGCTGAGCATGGTTTTGGGTATTATCTCTTATAAATGTCCCTCCTCAGAAAACTACAGTAGAAAAGCTCACAATAAAGCTCTTAAGCACCTATGAGCAGATGAGAAACTCCACTGCCTCCAGTGAAACTGACTGCAATTTTATCTGCTTAAAGGAAAACTTACTTGGGGTGGGGAGGATGAAGAGGAGAAGCTCTAAAGAAGCTCTATTTGTTTCACATTTGTAGCATCCTGGTTCCAGCCAGAACAGGGTTAATTTCTGCAGTAGCCAAGAAGGGGCATGCCCAGGATGTGGAGCTTATTCTATATCACCTCACACAACTGCCAGGGGAAGGGAGTCTCTTTCAGGAAGAATGGATCCCTTCCAGGTTGGTGGGAGGGAACGGTCGGGTATTTTCTATTGTCGGGGGGTTCTGTGTGAATCATTCATTTCTTGTACCCTCTGTCACTAGTATTGTTGCTGCTACTGTTTGTTTTCTTATCTCTGTGCTGTTTCCAGTAAATTTATCTTATTTCAGCCTGTGATCTTTACCTTTTGTCCCTCCAATTCTCTTCAACCTGCTGAAGGGGGCGGAGGAGGGGAAGGGTAGAGGAGTAAATGGCACATGGTTTCAGTGGGAGCATTAAATTGGGAAGTAACATTTCTAAACCATGGCATACAGTACCTGACCAAGGGCAGAGCTCCCCACAGCCCTGGAATAACATTATTAATCATAAAATGCTAAGGGCAAGGGGTTTCCCTGATGCCAGGATTCTGTCCCACACCTTTAAGGCTGGGCTTTTTATTGGGATGCCCTTAAACCTCTTCAGCTGGATGAGTAATGCATAGGCTCCAAACTGTAGTGCTTTTTAATGCCATTATGAATGCATATGCTTCACCCACTGAACACCAGAGTGAACACATGAGTCAAAGGTGACTCAGCATCAACCATTATCAATAAAAAATAAGCATGCTCTTTGTGTGTATAATACTGGAAGTGGGCAGGTCCTTGCACTGGAAGCTACAGGAGTACAGTGACACCCCCAGTTTGCAGTTTTATTTGAAAACACTGTGAGCCATAGCACCAGTCAATGCCAGGGTCCCACTGTGCTTTGGTTTGTCCTACAAGGGAAGGGACACTCCCCTCTTCTGTCTTAAAAGCCTGTGTGATGGGGGTTAGCTCACCAGGTCCTCTCCTGCTGCCTCACACTGAAGCAAGGACTGGTACACAGTGATTTTTTTCATTTCCATTTCGTGCAAAGGTTACAGAACCTGAGATACACCCTGTGATCTGCAACTCTGGGCTGGAAGCAAAATAGGGAGACTTGCTTTGTAAAGCCAAGGCTGGTTTAAACCTGAGCTCTGAATTAGGAACAGTGATGGTGTTCACATGCAGGCAGAGAAGACAGATTCTTCACAGAATCATAAGAATAGTCTGGGTTGGAAAGGACCTTTAAAGGCCATCTAGTCCAACGCCCCTGCAATAAGCAGGGACATCTTCAACTCGATCAGGTTGCTCATAGCCCTGTCCAGCCTGACCGTGACTGTTTCCAGGAACGGGGCATCCAGCACCTCTCTGGGCAACCTGTGCCAGCATTTTACCACCCTCATTGTAAAAAATGTCTTCCTTAAATATGGTCTGAATCTACACTCTTTTAGTTTAAAACCATTACTCCTTGTCCTGTTGCACCCTATTTTTCTTACAAGCCCCCTTTAAGTACTGAAAGGCCACAAGAAGGTCTCCCTGAAGCCCTCTCTTCTCCAGGCTGAACAACCCCAGCTCTCTAAGTCTGTCCTCATAGTCTTACCCAGCTGGACAGAGCTAGTAGCTTTTATAAGTTCAAAAAGTTTGTAGGGCCTCCTGGTGAGTCAGACATATATCCAGTGTCATCCCAGAGGCCTTGGCAGTACCTTGCATGATGCTGTCCCCCAGCCATTGGCAGAGGCAGTAGGCAGGTTCAGTAGTACACTGGGGTTCCTTGTAGTGCTTGTGAAGTCCCTGAGTTTACGCTACAAGAAACATCTCTCAGATATGCTCCATGGTCTGTACAAATAAGAGACTTCCCCTGTATTACAAGCATTACAGCTCTGAGGGATCTGGGGTACTCATGAGACCTCAGAGTTCCAGAGACTGATCGCTCATTACTAAAAGTGCTACAATACAAATATCACCTAGCAGTGTTGTGAGAGGAGGGGTTTAATGCTTTTATGAAAGCCATTTCCCATTGGCAAACTATCTGAATGCACCTTCAACAGAAATATGGGGAGCAAAGATGAGAAGCCTCAAGAGTCTATGCTCCCCACACTGAAGCAGAAGTCTGTGATCCCACAGTGATTCAGACTATAGAGCTGGGACATGTGTGAAAGGCTCTACCCTGGAGCCACCTTTCAAACTCTTCCTCAGCCTCTGCAACAGGGACCAAGGAACAGAAAGGAATGAAGGCACTTAGGAGAGGAAAGGAGCTCTGTCCTGGATGCTAATGAAGGTCCCATGGAACTGGATCTAGGAATACTGGCCTATACAAATACCACACCATCACAAGGTGCTGGATGCATCACACCTGTATAGCCCAAATTTAGACCTTAAGCCCAGGGCTTGTGTGGTTGATAACAAGAACATACATTTGCAGAGAGGAGGGGTTTACATCTTTGGTCCCTCTACTGTCGGAGCAATACAAAACTGCAGGGAAAACATGACAATCCTCCAAAAAGTTTGGGACGTGGTCCTTCATGGAAAAAACCCTGAGCTCCTTCCCACTCCCTGGTATAACTTGGGGGTTTGTTTTGGTTTGTTTTCTGGCAGTGTCAAACATTTTTCAGGGATATGCGTCAACCCATCAAGGCTCAAACTCTTGCTATTTTTTTTCACTGGAATTTCCACCTGCAACTGCTTCCAGAACCTGCCCTTTGGATACTTGGATTTCTCGCCTTTCCATTTAATGACAGTCAAGGCCGCCTGGGCCTGCTTCAGCTCCTTCACTTTGCTCTTCTTGATGGCTTTGTACTGCACTAGAATGACTTTGATGTTGCCCTTGGAGGCCATATTCTCTAGACCAGCCTTGAGCTCCAGCAGGGCCTGTGTCCCCTGCAAGACGTAGTTGGGACTCAGGACAACAAGCAGACGTCGGCTTTTCTGGATGAAGCTCAGGGTTTCGTCTGTGACAACTGGGAGAAAGAAACATTGAGGTGGTTAGTGATGCCCAAGAATATGCTGTTGAGATGCTAGTGTGACACCAGGTGTCTCCTGAAGGGGAGGGGAGGGCCTCCTAAGAGGCCCTCTCTAGAGACTACACTGGTGCTTCCCAACCCTGCAAGTGACTCCAGGTGGGACCTCCTACACCGTGGTTGATGCCCACTTCCCCACACAGTGACATCTTCTACTCCCAGCCTCAGACTGCCTGGAGATGCATTTCCTCCTCCCTGTGCTGTGTGGAGATGCCCAAGACAGCTACATCTAAGAGGTACGGTACCACATGTCAGTGACACCACCCAGCACCATGAGGATGCCTTGTGGCCAAGAGGGCAGCTGATCTCATAGAGAGGGGGAAAAGGAGGCTTTCTGGAGCAAAGCAGGGAAATTGCTAGCTGAACAACACATGAACTCAAGGGAAAAACTCAGCCTGAAGAGGTATCAGGAAGCTTGAATGTCTGTGCTTACATCCTCCTCTGGGAGATATCTGGAATGACTCTGGATACTCCTTTCAGTCCTCTTGCCTCAGTTTCCCCACACCAAACACACACAATATATATCTATGCATCTACACCCTCCCTGAGTGTCCTTGTGGGTTAATTTGTTTTGGTAGTACTACCATCCTAACTCCTGTTACTCATCCATCTGTTCCTGTTGCTGTCATCTATGAAAGCAGATTAGAGCAATTTTAGAACTAAAAAGTAAACTGTTCTGAGGCCTTTTAGTTAAGTGTCCAAAAAATAACACCCTCCAAGGAAGGGCCATGTCATGGTAACTGTGGATCCTCTTTAATATTCTAACATCTGTAGGTAGACTGTCCTTAGGCACCCTCCTGTAATTAATGTGAAAATCCCTTGTAAGTGTGAATCCCAGCGCTTGTACTCTCTGCAGCAGGATCTCCCACACTTCATTTACAAGGGAACACTCTTGACTGGTCAGAAATTACAATGGAGAATAAAATAATGCTGACAGGCAACTTCATTTAGCTGTCAAGCTCGTTTGATTAGTTCCTGTCAGCTAACTCATGGGATAATCCATCTCCCACTGTTTCTTCATCAAGGACAACATAACTCTACCCATGACACAGATGCACGCTCTGGAGGCATGACATCAGCTGCCAAAAGCTATTTCCTGGTCTGCCGTTCTTTCCCAAGAAGATTAGTCAAATCCTGGCTAAGAAGCAACGGGGAAGCCCCAGCAGCATCGCGAACGGCAGTGCGGTGACAAGCCACTCCAGCAGTGCTCCAGAGGGCTGGCACTGGCTTGAGGCTGACAGTGACTGGCATGAGGGGCAGAGATGGGAGTGTTCGGGGGTTAGGGTGAGGGACAGAGAGCCCAGGAGAGCTGTGGTGGGAGGAAAATGACACCCTTCAAAGCAAAAGGGGAAGGATGGCAAGAAGTGGCAGAGGGAACAGGAGGAAGGAGGACATCTGGTGAGAACAGCTCAGAGCAAACCTGCTCTGAGTCTGACACTGCATCAAGCAAATTGAGCCTGGAAAGTTCCCTGCCATGTCATCCATTCTCTCTCTAGAAGGAACAGCACCAGGACTGCATCTGTCTCCAGGTCCCCTGAGGCAAACTTACTCATTTATCTTCAAACTTTGAGGTGCTCCTAGATGCTAGCAAGCATCTAGGAGATAAAGATAACAGACTCCAGACTGATTCTGCTCCTTTTGTCGTGCAACTGGGCTGAGACTCCAGCAGTCCCTCCTGTCCTTCCCAAAAGGCACCCCAATGGAATTTCAGCATGGGTTCTGTCATTAGAGGGGTCCTGACCCAAAGGCCATGAATTCAAAGTGGGGTGGTCTGCACTGGCAGAAGTTCAGACTTTAAATAGGCATCAGGGGTCACACAGCCAACTGAGCCCCCAGGACACTGGAAACAGAGAGTGTTGGCTAGATCTGTGCCCTTGCTGTGGCACTTGTGTGAAGGTATGCTTATCTGGGGAGTTTCACAAACTTCCATTCTTGATTCCCTGCATCCCTGCAGCAGACACTATGTCCAGAACCTTGTATGATTTAGCTCAAAACAGTGAAAAAAGACTACGTTTTACTGAAGAGATAGTCCCACCACCTGCAACGAAGTACTTTTAATTATAGTAGTTTAATTGTATGCCATATTAGACACAAACTCCCTTATTTATGAGGGTGAGTGGGACGCATGTTATCTTCTCACTGATTTTGGCACAGTGCTCTCCCCACCTTCCTGAAGCAGACACTCCTGCTTTTTACAGGCATTCACCATTACCCTCTGTGAGCTACTGTTCTGGTCCAGTATAACACTTCCCCTGTTTCTTTTCTTCTAGCCTTGACTTTATCCCCTTTTTTTAAGGTAGCTCAGAGGGCTTGCATGAAGATCAGTTGTCCAGTTCCCCATGCTGATAGATCAATCACTCCTGCACATCACTCCTGGAGAGAGCAACTGAAACAACCAACCACCATCACTTGCCCACCACAGCTTTTTTGGAGGCCTGGAGCATCTGCAATAGTCATGTGAAGCAAAAACATTAGAAGATACCCAAAAGAGTTCATTAATAGTGATGGGGAGGAGAAAACAAAAGATAACCTGAATAGGCCTGTTCCAAACAATTATCAATACCTCAAAGAACAATAAAGAGAGGATGTGCATGGAGCACAGCCCCCTGTGAAATACTCACTTCCCCCAGGGAGGCTGTCTCTGTCGAAGATACACAGCTTGTACCCAAACTCATTCTCCAAGACTCCCCGCAGTGTCAGCAGCACAAATTCCTCCTCCTCCGCATTGCGCGCGTAGGACACGTACACGTCATACTCCTTCCCGTCTGAGCATTGGGAATACAGAGAGACACAAATGGCAGAAGAGACACCTGTGATACTGCACATGCTGGGCCTTTGACTTGCTTCCTGGGAAAAGCAGGTATAAAGGTTCACTTTGAGCCCAGGCACTGCAGGTTAGGACACATCGATTTCCACAGTTACCAGACAGCAGCGCTGCCTGTTTGACTATCCAGCCTGAATGTGCACGAACTCAGATACTGCCGGGTCGCTGAAGTTAGAAAATCAAAGCAAGATGATCAATCTGTTCTGTCCAGGTTCCTTTTGTCTTTTGACATCTTTGACATTGCTCCTTGTCATTGCAGTCTATCCACATGAGCAGTCCCACCAGACAGAGGCTTGCACCCTGCCTACACCCTAAGTGAGCTGCTGCACCCCCATGGCAGGTTCACACCCCAAGCTGTGAGGGCTCAAACACCCTCCTCCTCCTCCAGAGGAAGAAATCTCACCTCAGAGTCCCTAGCAATGAACTCCCAGTAACACAGGGAAGCTGTGGAAAAACTGAGGAGCGAAGGGTGATTTCCAGATACATCCTTTTGGATGACTTCCCACATTTTAAAGCAGATCAGTCTGGATCAGATCATGAATTCTTACACAGAGTCACCAGAGAAACCAGGGATGTACTGAAATTTGGTGACTTGTCTTTACTGTCTAGATCAGATGAAATAGCTAGCCATCAGCAGGGAAGTGCCCCAGGGAACCTGACATGTCCACGCTTTGCCTCTGCAGAGTATACAGAGGATTTCTCTCTCCTTTCCCTTGACCCAAGCCTGACTCCTCTTACTCTAAAATGACCCACACAACTGAATGTAGGTATAGAAATGGAAGGTCAAAATGTCATTATGCTCTGAAGAGGGTTAAAAATAGCTTACAGGAAAATTCCTGTATGAAAATGAAGGGCCTGGTCTGTAGCAGGATAAAATAAATGTAAACTCTTTAATACATTACCTAGAATGGTTTCATCTGTTCCAAAATGAGCCCGATAGAAGAGGACCATTTCAAGCCAATACACATGATAGATGACAATCAGCACCACCACAAGCAGGATAGTCGCCCCCAGTCCACAGGCCAGCTCCACGGTGTACTTCGGTGCTACAACTGGGTCCAAAAAGAAAGAGATGGTCAGGTTTAAAAAACAGGTTGGGCCTTCAGCTAGGCAAGAACACGTGTCACATGCAGCCAAACATCATAAAGGAACAGCCAGGAGCCAAGCTGGCCCTTCAGAGTAAGGTGGCCAAGCCAAGGCTCTCTAGCAGGACACATGATAGCTGGCCACCCTGGAATGCCCATTCTCAGTTATTAGGTCTGGTTGAGCTGGCAGAGCAAGTCATAGCAAAGGCTGGACTTCTGTCTCTGAGCAAGATCCCAGGAGCAGCCAGATGGCAGAACAACATGTTGATGAAAAAAACCTTCCTAGTCCAAAACCAGCTCACGAACATAACCTTCTCAGCAGCAGAGACACTCTTGGGGCAACACAACTGCACTTACTTCTAGGACTGCCAGATAAAGTTCATCTGCAGCAAAATAAAGGCAATGGCTACTATTTTTGCTCCCCATCAAACAGACACAGGTCTTAGAGCTTGCCCCAGACTGACAGCAAGCATATAACTCTGACAGCAAGCACATAACTAGCCATGGCCTGATTATTTTCTACCAGAAAAGAAGAATCAGAGTTCATTAAAGAAAAGCTGAAATGCTTGTAAACAAATAGGACAACCTGTGGACATCAAGCCAGAACATCACAGCTTCCCCCCCAACTCATACACTATCTGTCACAGCACTGCTGCTTTTTTGTACTAAGGACAGAAAATAACTCTTCTCCCTGTATCCCTGGGCAACTCTCCAGGTGGCAGTTGACATACACACTGGCAAACTGCACAATAAAAGAACAGCAGGGAGTGGAAACACCACCAAATTCCAATATTTAATAAGTTTTTAATAAAAGTGAAGTACAAAAAATAAAATGGAAAGAATTTATCAATTTTCATTAAGTGATGAGCAGCTGAAGTACATGAGAAGCAGAGGGAAATAATCCAGAAAAAGAAAGAAATGTATGCAATCTAATGTAATGAAACAGTTGGAGCCAACATATATAGCCACTTGCTAAAAACTGGAAGATAAGTGTTGCAGGGTCAAGTTCAGGCATTCTTAATGTTCCTATGCACAGCAGGATGGGCTGCAGTGAGCTTAGCCTAAGGCAGCTCTGCCAGCAGCAGCTAAAGATTGTTCCACAGAAAAATCCAAGAACAGAGCAGGAAGAAAGGGTTGTGGGTAACCATATCTGCTCAGAGAAAAGCCAGTCAACTACCCAGGAGCAGATGGGGGAGGAAGAGAGAGGGTGATACAGATGAGTCCACTACAGAACAGCATTTAGGCACTGTTATATAGAAAAAGAATCTTAGTATTTTAGATTCACTTCTGCTACATGTACAAACATTATCACCCCAAAAGAATTATGTATGGAGTATGAACACACTGGAAGATGGTTTCAGCCTTTCTCACTTATGTGTTCCTTCCCAACAATCCAAAAGAGGTTTGTCTCAAAGGAATGGGACTAAAAAAGAGGGAGGTCAAGTATCAAGAAGAAAAAGATCTTCCAATAAAGACCTGTGTGAGTCTTCCAATGCTTGTAGGGCAGAGTAGGGGGCAAAGTAGGTCTGACATGACCTACCAGGGCAGCATTCCTTCTGGGAGAGGGGAGGTCTAACTTACAGTAAAAGCAGGTGTTAGAGATCTAGATGAGGTTGATAAGGAGGCAGAAAGATACACCTTAATCAGGAAACCTCACATAGCTTTTATTACTGAGAGGTGGGTCTGGGAAATAGGAACAAAATCTTTGATGAAAAAAAGATGTAGGAAAAACTCACACTGAACAGAGCTGAATCAGTCCATACCATCCACACTGAGGTAGCTGTATCTAGACTGAAGAATCATCACAGCAAGGAGTAAACCACAGAGCACTGTGGTTTGACCATCTCATTCCCTGAGCAATGCCAGCCAGTGCAGTGTGCCTTCTGGAGGACGCAACTGTGTCACACAAACCCCTCACCCAGTCAAGGCAACCTGAAATCATTTCAAGCAGCCTGTCCCACCCAGGTCTGCTTCAGTTGTGGTACATGGATGGGATGAAGACCTATCCACCCCACCCCTCTCTCCTCCCAGGCACTTGACCATGGTACCCCATCTCGAAGAAGTGGTGCAGTATGACAGCAATGATGCAGCAGTATGTACAGAACAGACTGTGTTAGGCAAAAAGTCCTGATGGAATTCTTTGTTCCCTTACTGTTTTGCAAGGCAATGTGAACAATGAAGCTGGATAGGGAACAGGACTCCAGGATTACCTGGAGGGGAAAGTGCCTCCGCCCTCCCCACACACACACGTGGTCCCCATGGCAGAGACCACAGGACACCAGCAGCGAGGAGAGAGCAAGAGAGAGTTTATTGTTCTGGGCAGCGACATAAATAGCTCTTGGGGGGGATTACAAAGTAACCATTAGGAGTTCAGGAGGTCTTACAAACCCACCAATGATAAGCGAGGGTTAACAAAGCCAATGAGAGAACTTTTGAGTTATTTCCCAGACATTACCAAAGTAGAGATAACACCGGGGGGGATGTTGGGAAAGAGAAGGTAAGTTTAGCAAAAGAGTTACAAAAGCTATTTTGGAAACACGTTCACTTAAACAACATTAAAAACCTCTGTCTTCTCTCATACACTGCAAGCCCACTGCAACAGGGCAAGGCTCAAGGCAGGACCAACAGCCCCCCCTGAGAACACCTCACTTCACACCCAGGCTCTGCAGGTACTTTACCTTTCATGCGCACTACGGCCTGGCTCTGGTCCTCGCCTTTGGCGTTCCTGGCATAGCAAGTATAATTCCGTTTCAACTCCTCTGGTGTGGCCTTTGCAATTGTTAGAGTCCTTATGATAGTTTTGTCTTCAAAATCTCTAGTAATTTCACTGTAAAAGAAAAACTAGAGCATTACATACGTGAAAGCTGCAGCAAGGTCTTAGTGACAGATATTCCTTTCCCTGATGTAACCTCTTTCTTTAAAAAGACCAAAACACATAAACTGATATTTATAAATCAATACACACTTCAGACTTTAATACAGCTGCAGCCCTTCCTTTATCTGATTTCCCTTAATAATTATTTTACCACTCATAATTTTCTCATTGCAGCTGTGTCACATTGCCTTTTAGAGAAAATGGAAGTTCTTGCCTATAAAACAAGAAGATCTCAGGAACTCAAGATTCAGAGCCCACGTCACATTCCGCATACAATCCTGGATGAGTCACTTTGTCTCTCTCTGCCTGAATTGACCATCTGCAAAATAGGGCTACAGTATTTCCTTTTGCCTTTCCTTTTTCTAGGGTGGTTTGCAAATCAGCTGGGGCAGTGGCTGCCTTCCACTTGTAATTCAGAATCCAGCAAATGGGGCCTTGTTTGGGTCCTTCACGCAACTGAATGTTTATTCCTCCTAATCAAATATATGTATAATACTACATTTTTGTTTTCAGCCTCTGTTTTCTTGAAACATTTTTATCACTTATGCTATTTTGGAATATTCCTCTAAATATAATTGACTGCCCCTGTTTTGGAAGTCACACAATGACACCAGCTACTGGCAGCACTTCCAGGACCTGAACAAGTGATGATGTGAACTAGAAAACAAAGCTCCCTCAAATCCTTCTGTAAGATATGAAACTGTCCAGGTCTGGAGGCCTTCTCCTTAGAGCTCCTGGTGTTCATCACAGCATGGTGTAGACACAGGGGTTCCTGATTAACAGGGAAGCAGGGGACTCCACACTCCCTTGGGACTGTGCATGCCTAGAGCCACACCCCTCTGCAGGACCCAAGAGAGGATTAGATTCAAATGAAGGTTCACATTTTATGTTACCTTTGTGTGACTTTTATCTTGGGGTCTGTGATGTCATCTGTGTTTTTTCCATCTATGGTCCACCATACCTCAGTCCGGGAGTCCTTCAGGAAGGTGAAGAAAACCTCACAGGGCAGGATGAGGTCATCTCCTAGAAAGAAAGGACCACTGTGAGGTATTGCAAAACAGGAACAGCACCACCCATATTTTGTGCTATCCGGGGATCCTACCAGCCTGAGCTCTGCCTCCCTTCAGGAGGGAAGGAGGCATCCACTTTCTGACATCTAGTAACACTTTAACATCTTGGACATGATGATTTGTGACAGACTCATAAACAGAAAAAAAAAATCCTGCCTTCTCAAATGTGTTACAAATTTTTTGACTTCACAAAATGACCCACCTAAAGGGAGATGCTCCATGCCAACCACTTCCTTGGAAAGCCAAGCAGTGTTAATCGTCCCCACTGCAGAGGGGACAGATGCCAAAATGCGAAGCATCAAGCTCCACAAAAGCATTTTGATGTGGGAACACTTCTTCAGGAATTTGACTTCTGCTAAAGATCAGACTTGGGAGTGTGAATATCTTTGCGATCAGCACATAAGTGATTTTTTCTTATAAAGTAATTATTGAAGAAGTCTGACCTTCTGAGCCTAAAAAGCTGTACTTTAAAGTGAAGATTCTAAGGCTAATCATAATAATTGGCACCACATTTATTACAGCAGTCTAATGGAACACAACCCATTCAATATAGGGAATTACTCCAAGGAGCTGTAAGTTGAAATTGATGGGGTGGGGGAAGGGGTTGAGGAAGGGGTGCAGTACCCCATTACCCAATGCTGCGAGGCCAGCAGAAGGAGAGCTGTCACTAATTAGGAAGTAATCAGCCAAAAAGGGAGAGATGAGCAAGAAGTAGGTAAAAGGCTGAAGCCACTATGGGGGTGAATGAGGGAGTGTGGAAGCAAACCACAGCCAGGGCCAAGACAAGATCCTACAGGAATTTTCCTAAGCAGCTCAGTGTCCCCATTTCATCTGCTTCTGCAGCTGCATCCTCCATCACCATGCCTGAATATCTGTCTTTATTTATGCTTGCAAAAAATCAACTTTTAAAGCTGTGCTTTCCTATTCTGGCATCCAGAACTGGCATCCCACGCTGTCTGCAAGGCAACTTGTGGCAGCTCGTGTGCTCTGGGGATGTGGTGGAAGGAGAGAGCTTCTGTGCCTGGCTGGGTCTCCCTGACCCACAGGCAGGGTGTCAGGGCAGCAACTGCAGGCATCGAGCACTGGAATTTACCTGCTTCCAGTTCGTACACAACTTTCTCATTTGGAGAGATGAACTGTGGTGGCAAGGCCTTGTTTGGAGATCCTGCAGGAAACAACAGAGAGCCCCCCACAGGGACCCAAACTTCATGAGAACCTGGAACCCTTTCAGCTTCATTTATGATGCCCTCACACCCCACTGCACATTCCCCAAACTAATTTGTGATATAGTCCCGCTTTCAGAGTTCCATGCACAGAGAAATCTAATTTTAGTCCCCAAACTGAGGGCCAAATATACATTTTGAGGCTTCTCCAAAGTTTAGGTAAGCTAGTTTGGGCCTCTCACATCAGAAGACCTCCATACCCTCCTCCTCTCCCACAAGACATAACCTTTTTTTTTTTTTTTTTTTAAGAACCAAAATACAAACATAATTTCCTGTCACAAATATTTAATTCAGCTCCTAAAGCAGCTGTTGCCACGGGACTCAGAATCCATCCTACAACTCATTAGGTTTTTAAGCTCTGTCTACAATTCCCTGGCAGGTGGGCTGAGCCCTTGTGCCTGGGACAGACCTGTCCAAGCAGTGGGTACCTGGAGCTCTGCCTGGGTGATTAACAGTCCCAACCTCAGCACACAAGGCTTTGAGCTTCCAAGAAGATCAAGACAAGTTGGCTATAAAGGGACAATCTTACAAAGATGAGCAAAGGGCACTGGAGACAACAATGAGCAGGAGTGCCAGGGTTATTCACTCACATACCAGCAGAGGGTACCCCTGGCCATCTCATGGGCTGAACCTCACCAGCCTATGCCTGGCCACTCTCTGTGTTTGGGGGCATTTGATATGGTGGTGGGTAAAGCCTCTAGTGCAACATGTTCTGAGAAGTCACACCAAGCTGACCTCAACAAGAAAAAATACACCAGGTCAGTTGAGTAATGCAGGTTGAACACAACCATAAATGGATCCTGTGGCAGACTCTTCTAGCTGTTTTTACCACTTCTGCAGTTATCCACATGCATTTTACATATTTTAAAGTCATTCTTACCCACCACCTTCATCTTTATGGTTCTGGTGAGATTATATGTTCTTCCATGGTCCTTGAATGTCACAATACAAGTGTAATTCCCTTTATATGCACTGCGGACAATGACGATGACAAGCCTGGGCCCCTGGGGATATCGCTCATTGAAGCCATCCACCGAGTTGCAGTTCTGGAGTCAGGCAGAAAAGCACTTGAGTTTGGGATTCAAAAGTAAAGACATTGGTTTAAATGCTGCTACAAAAATCTGATCTTCAACTATAAATATGGTACTTGGGATCATGATGTAGATCAGACCTAAATACCATGAACTTTGAGCATGTTGGAATACAGACTGCTATGTTCACCTTGAAAATGAAGTGATAAAGCAGATAACCCTAATAGTTTTATCCCACCTTAAATACAGGTAGTTTTATAAGAGAGAGATCTCTAATCCAGAAGTACCTTTGCAATTAAAGTGAGCATCTCAGCAAAGAGATGAGTAAAATGTAAGAAAAGACAAGAAGAAAATGATGATGTATTCACAAATGGATACTAAGACTAAGGGACATGTCCCCTGTTGATGTCCATCTTTTGGGACTAATCAAGTTGCCCTGACTGACTTCAGCTGAGGCCTCAAAATTGGCAAACAGCAAATGAGAATCTGCAGTACAGAAATCTTAATAACTCCTCTCTTTCTGTGAGGCAAGGCAAGAAAACGCTGCCAAATACCAAGCTAGAGATCCCTTTTCAGAAAGGGGTTATGCAGATAATATCTTGATTGTCATAAAACCCTAAGATGTGCACATTTTCTAAGAGATTATTTCTGAATGGTACATTTCCAAATCAGATACATCCTAATGGGGCAGTTTAAGACAGGGGTCATATACCATTTTTAATGATTTTTATTAGGCATGAGATGACTTGCTGTCTGAAAAATCACTTCCAAGGGGCTTTTTGTTTCATTCTGCTAATTGATTGCCGAGATGTGAATTTCAATGAATGATACAAGTAAAGCATTTAAACTACTGGAGTGAAACTGCTCCTCTTGGATACAAAAGCAAGTTTTTCCTAAAGGGTTTTAGAGTAGGGCTTTTCTTTTGGGTCTTCTTTTTTTAATTATTTTTTAAATGAGCAGATATATTTGTTGACAGCTTAATTATTAATTTCACTTATACAGAACCTCCTACTTAGAAAGCCAAAAGCACCTTCTAAGCAGTTATTAAAGAATTCACTCCTATAACCCCCTCTGGCTGTGCATCCTCTGAGAATTCTTATTCTTTATTGACTAAAGGCACCTACCTAGAGAAAAACAGCGAGATCAAATTTAATAAAATTGAGCAGTAATTCCATAGGCAAGAGCCTGAGGATGGCTAGAGACAGTCTACTCATTAGAACAGTATGGAGGGTGGAGTAGGGATGTCTCAATCTTCAGAAAAGAAGTTTGCTGAATTGTGTCAAACAGGGTCACCTATGGGCCTTGCAGAGGCCTCATTTTCTGACCTTAGAGGATTTTCATTAACAGGTGGGGGTTTTTTTAAAGAGTGAATATGAATGAGTTTCCTTTACAGGGATAGTAAGAGGTTCACACAGCAGGTCAGGCATACTGCCCATAACTGAACTGAGGCTCCTAAATCCCTGCTACAGTATTCTCCACTTGTGCACTCAGGTCAAAAAAACTTCAGCATTAGCTCTCAATTCCCTTCCAAGAGCAGTTTTACCATCAAACTCAATGGAAACAAAGCTCTTTAAATTAGTAAAGCTTCATTTGCGGCATCATCACTGGGAAGACTCTCAAACATGCTCCATGATTCTCACATCAACCACTGTCTTTTCACATACACCACTGCCCATGTAAGTCCTTCTCACCAAGTACCACTTGACAGTTGGTGTTACACTGGCAGGGTAAAAACCATCAATATCTGGACATATGATCTTCTGATTGGTGTGCTCCAAGTAGAACATCTCTTCAGTGGGTTTTATTGAACTGCTCACACAAGAATGCTGGTCTTTTGGAACAACCTCCAAGGGAAACGCAACTTTGCTGCAGTAGGTTGTATTTCTAAGGACAGATAAGAATAGGACTGATTAGTTGAAACTTGTTTACTCCTATAGCAGTGCAATGAAATTAAAATTACATCTGCAGTAAGGAGCATCATAGCGCTGATGTGGTAGATACAGCCTTAGCTGACTTATTTATAAATGGGCAAGAAAACCCCATCAAAGGTGGCCACACAAGCTCAGAAAAGCCTATAAAGACGACTAACAATCAGCATCCACTCCCCCGCTGGTAAAGCAGATCATAGGGTCAAAGACACAGACAAGAAACAACGTAAGATCAAAAAGAGCTCTTGCGCATAGCAGATGCTATGTTCGTTTTGTACCACACTCAGAGACACTTTTAATTTCCTAGAAGTCTGAATCTCATGAATCTTTGCCAAATTAGTGTGCAGTCAAAACATTACCCCTGCATCTGAAGCTATTTTTACTCTAGACATCCAGATCACTTCTTAATGGTGAGCGCCTGTGGATTTTGCCATGGGCTCAGCAATAATGTTTTCACGGACACTTGCAGCAAGCAAGGAGGGGCACACTCATTAACGCTCGCAAGGCTCCAAGCATTATTGCGATGTAAATTAGCTCAGCACTGAGCCATCTTATAATTGTAACATTCTTTTCCCATTAATGCTCATGCAAATGGTCGTCTCCCTAAAGAAAGATCTGGTGCTAACAGTGCAATTTCCCCACCTTCACAGAAGTCCTTCAATTGCACTGAAGACAGGAGCTGCACCACACAACCTACCTGAGCATGCAGGTATAATTCCCAGTGTCATTGAGGAGAGCAGGCCAGAACCACAGGGTGTCTTTATCCTTACTGATGTGATTGTCTGGGAGACGATAATTAATGGGTTCCTCCAGATCCCGGTCCTGCGCGATCCTGTACCAGATCAGGGTTAAGCCAGCAGAATGGGCTGTGCTATAGTTGTACTTCAAGAAGGTCTCAAAAAGTGGGCATTTGATCCTGGCAGGTTCCCCATCATAAATCTGGATCTGCTTCATGGTATCCACACCCCAGTCATCGCAGCGTTCTGCAGCCAGGAAGAACAAGGTGGCTTAGCTTGCAAATCTGCAGGACAAAAAACAGTTCTGCCCATGCTCCCCTCAGCCCTTGGTCCTGTGTCCACTAAAATCAGAGGTAAAAACAGTGTTTTCAATGAAAGCAAACTGGGCTTTTATAAAGCAGAGCAAGAACACTGTGTTCATTTCTGCAGAACCTGCAAACCTCTGCTTTCATTTGTACACCTCCTACACTTCTTCCAAGCTATTTATCTCTCATCAGGACAACAGAATAAGATATTCCTGCACAAAGCCAGGCTTCCTAGAGAGCTTCAACAAAATGTAACACAAAAATCTTGTGTGGGAAGATAAAGTTTAGATGAAAACAATGCCAGAGGTGTGTGTGCATCCATACACAATGGTAGGGAAGATGAAAATAGACATGTTAAAATAAGAGAAAAAAAAAAAAGGTAAAAAACCCAACACAAACATCAACCCTGCCCTAGAGCTATAGATTACTGCCCCTGACAGAAGCAGCTGACTGTGGGTTCCAAAAGCAAGAACTGTCTTTTCTGTCTTACCTGTGCACACTATGGTAACACAAAGAGTACAAGCACTAATAACTGACACAGAGCAACTGTTTATAGTGAAGTTTAAGAAGGGAGGCTGAGGGGCAGAAGAGACTGTATGGAGAATGTAGCAGCAGGTTCTCTTTGAGAATTCCCAGGCACCACCCATGTGTAATTTCCCAAGCACAGTTCAACAGGCTGTGTGGCTCACCGCAGACTTGGTCTGACAGAAATTGGCCAACATGAGAAAAAGCTGTGCAGTGCCTTTTTTTTTTATTTACTTCTTTAAAAAAATTATTCTTCTCATTAGCAAATAGTTTCAGGACAAAAGCACAGTTCAAACCCAATTCCCTTCTGAGTAGTCCTTTCCATTCAGTTCCTCCTACCCATCAGGATGTCCAGTGAGGAAGGGACTCAGTGCAAGCAAAGCATGGTACCAGGGTGTCAGCAAACCTGAGAGCAACCTGCACTGTCTGTGCCAACTGAGACACATGGAGAAGCTGCTGTCACTGCATCTCCTGTCTCCCCACGCTGACGAGGCAGAGCACAGCATGGCACACTTCCCAGTGCATCTCTTGTAGCTGCTGGGAGGCGTTTGCCAGGGCAGCCTGATGTCTGAGAACCCAAAATGAGTCAAAGAGGAGAGGGGTGCACTGCCTGCAGCAGTCCCTGGGAGCAGCGTCTCAGCACATTACAGTCTTACCAGAGACAACACTAGAAAGCCTCTCCCGTTTGCAGATATTAGAAGAACTCAGACCAAGAGGAAAAACAGAATACAATATGTTCTTTGAGCCAAATTCTTCTGAACTGACTTCACAGACCCAAAGTAGGATTTCTGGCATTTATTCTTCCTTAAATAGACAGTGGGATGTAGCTTGGCCCCAAATTCATAATTAATTAAAAAAAGCAAAGTGATAAACCTTTGAGAAGATAGGCCTGCCACACTTAAAGGCAGTGATGCTAACTCCTGTGGCTCAGCAATGGTTAGTCATGGGGAGGAGGAATCTGGGCCAGTAAGAATAGAAATGTTTTCTGGCAGGTTTGCACATAAATGTAAATGCAAGCTGCACTGCTCCTCCTGTGGTATGCTGAACACCCATATGACAGAGTGCTACTTCTGGAGGAAGAGAATGAATTGGGCTAGGAAGAGGCAGTGAAGCTACCCAGAACACAAATATTTGCCTGTAGAAACCACAAACCCAAGTGCCATTGTTTATTATCTAAAAAACATAGATCTTTCACAACCACACAGCATCTGTTGTAGTTTTACTGAAATGGGAAAGATTTTTAGTGATCTTTTTCATACCACCACATAATTTAGAGCGTGGGGGACTGCCCATTCCCCATCCGAGCTGAATCAGGGAAAGACTGTCCCCAGCATCTTGGGACCTGCTGAAAAGGTAGGTCCCTGAAGTGAAGCATCCCAGGAACTTGGGAGACAGGAGATAAAAACAGGCTTGCCCCAGAACTTGCTCTCTCTTGGTACCTGGGTTTTTGCCTCGCTGGAGCACTGCTGACCTTTGGAGCCTCTTCCCTGGGGACTGACCTCTCATTGGAGGTCTTGCCTCCCAAACATCTTGTAGTTAAACCAAGACAAAATCACATATTATGTCTGCTACCACAGCCAGAGCCAAGGCTCATTCTGAAAGACCAAACCATTGTTGGAAGTCTTATACCATGGGAAGGTGTATAGCTGCCAGTCACCGCCATGATCAAGGCTAACTGGAACCAGTATGCTGCTTTATGCTGGTGAGGTCAAACTACTGGATTAGGTATGGTCAAGTGTCCATAGACTGGCAATGAGACAAATGAGCCTGCAGAGACTGTCTGCCAACTGCATGATAAAGCATGGACTGCTACTCATGGAGAGGGGACTTTTTTTTTTGTAAAGAAAGGCTCTCCCTCTGGAAAGAGCAAACCTGGGTCTATAAAGAGCAAACCTGTCTATAAATCAGGGCACCTGGGTTCTCTTCCTGGCACCTATCTTCTCTTGGGCTGCATAAAGGTAAACTGTCCTTATTATTTCAAATGGCAGGACTGGGGAGGGAGAAAACTATATAAAACATTACAGTACAGAAATTCTTAGAGTCAAGATCAATGAAATTTGCAATCCTGAGCAGCTCTTGCATTTTGCAACAGATCATAAATCGGCACTGTAAAACTACTTACCCATTCTACCTGAATGAGTTATTGAAAATAAATACAACTATTTCATTTTTTTTTCTTCCTACATTTCTCAAAAGCAATGCACAGGCCTTGTCTTCTTGGGTCAGGCAGAGGTGACTGTTATTGTTTTACTATAAGAGCTGTGCCTGGAGATTTTGTCTCAGAGCTGGCTAATTAGCCTGGCTTCAGGAACACTGTCACAGCAAAGAGCCAGTGCTAAGGCTCCCCATATGCCCTTACCTGTAGCTGCAAGCACTGAGCTGAACCCCCAAAAACAGCACATAACTGTGCTAGTATTGAGCAGCTATACCCAGAGCACAGGAGCAACCATGCAGTGTGAGATCAGAGGCTGTGTTTGCCACCTGGTTGGCAAGGACTCCTCCTGGTTGCCAGGGCAAAGCCACCAAGCACAGCTCCGAGGGCTCAGGGAGCAATGCCATAATATAATCAATGCCAATCACTTACAGCAGAGATGGAAGAAACACCCCAGGCTGCAGCAAGAGCTCTTTCAGACACAAAACACCAAGGACAGAAGTTGTGGTCCTTTGCACAGCTTCCCTCCTCCCTGTGCTATGCTGACAGTAGCACTGCTATTTATATCTTTTGGGGTGTTTTATGACCAAGATAGATGGGCTCTGCCTGACATAATGTGTGAGGACTGCAGGGCATCCCTCACACACACATTTGCGAGCCTGTTGCTCCCTAGCTGTGAGGGTGCTCTTCTCCCTGTGCCAAATAGCAACCTCTGACATGGGGGCACTTCTACAGCAGATCCCAGCACAGGAATCATACCCAAACAGCTGGCTGCACTCCACACACATGCATAGAGAGGATGCTCACATTATTATTGCTATAATCTTATTGTATCCAACAGCTTCCCCTCAAAATTTTGTGCCCCTTCCACTATTTTTAGCTCTATTGGATATTCAGAGCCTATTTGCTGCTAACATCAGCATGCAGCTACTTGGATGTCAGTCTGAACTGGAGATAGCCTGAAAAAAGTGGCATGACTCTACAGTGACCCTTCACTGGCATAAAGCAGCTACCACTATGAAAAAAATATATATATATATATATAAAATATCTATACACACACATTGATATATCCTGACTCCAGTAACAATAATTGAGGGAGCATTGCAGAAAGAAGACACAAGGATCCAGTTCTCATTGTGAGAAACGGCACTAACTTCTGTGGTGCTGTGTCCATTTGCAGCAACTCACACTTGTTTTCATTGGCTTAGCCTAGGAAGCAAATTTCTTCTCTCCTGAAACATTTCCTGCACAAAACACCTGCTGGAGTTAAGAGCAGCTCCTGATTAAATCAAGTGGGATCAGCATTCATGCTGTGACTTCAGAGGTTTGCTAACAAATGGAAACCAGCGAGGAGATGGAACTATAGTAACTCCAGTCCCTTCCACGCTGAAGCAAATGGAGCACTACACACATACCTGAGGGACACAATAAAATTCTCTAAAAATACACCATCCCACAAATGTATCTTCCTAGAAACATCTCTGCAAAACACTTTCGAAAGAAACCACCTTGTTCTCATTACCAAATGAGGTGCACTGCAGATGTCTCAACTGACCCCTCTTACTGCTGAATGCTCTGCAATCACACAGCAGGGCAGCCTATGACCCATAATACCTACTTCTGAGAGACAATGCAAGAGAAAGGCAAGAAACATTCCTGCTTGCAAAGGAACGTTTTTCCTGCTTCACAAAAGGGATGAAGATTCTACAGGGTGGAGGGAGGCTGAATGGTAAAAGGAAACATCCCCCCACCCCCAGCATTAAAGTACAGGCAAAAGGCTGATGGTAAGGATGCCCATCTTGAAATCATATGCCTTGAGAGGTGCTCCAGCTCTCAGATCATCTTTGTGCCCTCCTTTGGACTTGCTCCAACAGGTTCATATCATTCTTATGTTGGGGACACCAGAGCTGGACACAGAACTGCAGGTGGGGTCCCTCAAGAGCAGAGAGGCAGAATCACCTCCCTTGACCTGCTGGCCATGCTGCTTCTGATGTGATCCAGGGCACAGTTGATTTTTCGGGCTACAAGCCCACATTGTGGGGCCATATCTCAACAGCTGCCTACTTTCTTTATCTGCCCCTGCTGCATTGTCTGAAAGCAAAGCTGGTATGAGTCAGCCTCCACCCAGGGAGTAGAGCAAGGCCAGTGGCTAGCTCGATGCACAAATCAGCATCAATAAGGCAGAAACAGCTGATCACGCAAAGCAGTTAAGCAAGAATTAATCACTACTACCTTAAAAAAAAAAAAAATTTCCTCTCCAC